GACAAACTGGAGCATCTTAACTTTAAGGTATTATTTTACAAAGATTTGAATTTAATAAGACTTGAATATGCGTTACATTTTCTTATGTTTTTGTCTTATGATTTATTTTTTTTTGACCCCAGGTGACAACAGCAAGCCGCCCATCTTTTATCAGATCACCTGAGACAGATATCGACACCAGGTGTAAACATGGTCTTACGTCAGTGGTTTCTCAACCAGGAGTCCGGGGCCCACTTAGGGGCCTCATCAAACTTAATTTTAAGCCCCTTTAAGTGTTAAAATTATTTACATTTAGTTATATTAACAATTGTAATTAAAATGCTAAAAAAACACTAAAATGAAAATGTACAACTGACATATTTTGAGTTAATTAATTTTATCACAACTGAAGTCCCAGAGGTTCATATCAGCTTAGATAGGAGGGTCTTTGAATACTGTCTTGGGCCTTGGAGTTAAAAACTGGTTCAACTGGTTTATGTTGATGCAGGACCCCTGCTAAAACTAAATCAGACCTTTATTTAGCTATTTATCAGGTAATAGTTTTCCATCTGAAAGCCCTATGCGCACAGAGCGTCTCAGTTGGATTGAATCATCAGAGACGTGCAATGACAAACAGCCACCGCTAGCAATCATCTTTACTACGCATTTATGGCCGGTTTATGAGACAAGCAGTCATGATGGATTCCTCCAGCCTTAACCCGGCTGCCATCTTTGTGAATAACTTGAGTTTAATAGGTTTAATATCAAGTCACGTTCCTTTGAAGATTTAAGACGTGTTCAGTCCCCTCCCTCAAACCCAAATCAAACTGTTACACATAACCCAGATTACCTGCCATCAGAAAAAACCCACCTCCCCCAGCGTGCACAGCTCCATGATGATCCACACTGGGTTTTCTGTAATGATGCCAATCAGCTTTACAATATGTGGGTGATCGAACTGTCGCATGGTCACTGCAGGAACACACAGAGACAAAATTAGTCCAACATCAGGGTTCTGACTTTTTCCAGCAAAGACAAATGATTGTTACAAATGATATTTATTTCAAATAAATGCTGTTCTCTTGAATTTTCTATTAATGAAAGAATCTTGGGGGGAAATGTATCACGGTTTCCACAAAAATATTAAGCAGCACAACCGTTTTCAACACTGATAATAAGAAACGTTTCTTGAGCACCAAATTAGAATAATTATTAGAATAATTTCTGACACTAAAGACTGGAGAAAATGCTAGCTGCTGAAAATTCAGCTGTCACCAAAGAAATAAATTGCATTTAAAAAAAATTAAGAAAACAGTTATTTAAAACTGTAATAAAATGTAACAATATTACTGTTTTACTGTATTTTTTATCAAATAAATGTAGCCTTGGTGAGCATGAGTGACTTCATGAGAGACTTTGAAAACATTAAGAAATCTTGTCGACCCCAAATGGAAGAACTCAAAGTATAATGGAAGTATAATATATTATTCTCATAGTATGTATAAAAATGTCACAACTTCTTGTTTACAGTAAAATCTGAGTCCTGAAACAAAACCAGTGTGAAACCTGGTGATACAGTGGGTATAGAAAACAATCACCCCCTTTAAAATAATCACATTTTGTTGCTTTGCAGCCTGAAATGAAATGTTAGCTTTCACTTGGATGTTATAAATTGCACTGAGTAAATACAGCTGGATAAAACAAAAACTGTGTCCGTCTTCATTACAGCCTGCAAAGCAACAAAATATGATTATTTTAAAGGGGGGTGATTCTTTTCTATACCCACTGTATGTGCATTTTTCAAAAGGCTGCAGTTTTCAGCACTTGTGATTTTCCCAATTGTGGGATGTGCATCATATGTGTATCTACGTAAATCAGGCAAAATAACTGAATTATACAGTTAAGTCAAATTATCTGTGAAGGATCTAAAAGCTGTAGTAAAAACATCATGTCCTGTTTATTAGTGTCTGACCTTTTCTTCACTATCACTCTCACACACATACCAGCACCTGTTCGGGTGTACAAAAGCCAACAGCTGTGCTCTTACAAACTCCACATCCTGAAAATGTTTGGAGTTTCGGCACCAACTAACCAAAACATTCCTCTCAATTACAGTGATGGAATGCTGATGGACGCAGCCATGGGAATGACGCAGACATGCAGTGCTGTTACAGGCTGCTGGGTATCAGTGATTTGACACTCACAGGCCTCCTGGAGAAATTTCTCTCGAACACTGTCCGAGGTGCAATTCTTACACGTCTTTATCGCCACAGAAAGAGCTGGGTTCTCCTGACAGCACAAAAGAAAGAAAAAGCATTTTAATAACCGTTTCCGTAAAGCTTTCAGATTAATACAACATTAGTATTTCTTGCAAAGTCATTTCTGATCATCATCATACCATTGAGTAATTCATACTTTAATATAGACTAAATAAACATTTTTTTAAAAATAATACGTTTATTCAATAAGGATGCATTCAATCAAAAGTGACAGTAAAGACTTTTACATTGTTACAAAAAAATAAATACATTTCAAAAAATGCTGTTCTTTTGAATACTAAAGTCTGGAGTAATTGCTGCTGAAAATCCAGCTTTGCCATCACAGAAATTAATTGCATTTTAAAATATATTAATATTGAAAACAGTTATTTTAAATTGTAATATATTTCACAATATTTTAAATTTTACAATAAATAAATAAATTAATTAAATTAAATTAATTAAATAAATTTTACTGTATTTCTGATCAAATAAATGCAGCCTTGGTGAGCATAATAGACTTCCTTTGAACAGTAGTATAAATAAATAAGTTATACACAAGTTAACACAACAACAACACACAGTTAAATAATTTAATAAAATTTAATCAAGTCATTTATACCGGACATATGTAAATCCCTTGATGGACATCTCCAAACTGGCCCTCTCCGATACAGCGTCCCAGCTCAATTCTATCTCTTTGGATCTCATAGTCCCTGGCTGAAAGACAAAATGGACCCATTCAACAAACACTTAAAAATACCACTTCATAAATGATTATCTCAAGCCACTTTCCACCATGTACTCAGAAAAAGAAAAGACACCATGCAATTCTTCAGTCTGTCTGTATCAGTACATATACAGTATGCTTTTCAATATAGAATCCATCCCATACATGCCATAGCAACCCAATTATCAATCAAAAATGCATACAAGACTCAGTAAAGAAATTATACTAATGGTTCTTCATTAAAGGGACCGTTCACCAAAAAAAGAAAATTCTTTCATCATTTAGTCACACTCAAGTTGCTCCAAACCATGTGTGAATTTCTTTCTTCTACTGAGAACAAAAAAGAATGTGGGAAACCAAACAGTTTTTGGTTCCCATTTACTTCCATAGTACTTTCTTCCATACCATGGAAGTCAATGGGGATGAGCAACTGTTGGTTACTGATGGTCTTCAAACTATCTTCTTTTATGTTCAACGGAAGAAGGACATTTTTACAGGTTTGGAACAACTTGAGTTTCAGCAAATAATGATATAATTCTCATTTTTGGATGAACTATCCCTTTAAGAAGAACAAATCAATAATCACTTGAACAACCTCTTTGAACATCCATATGTAAAAGTGTCAAAGCCAGTTCGGAGCACCTTAATTGGAACTTGAAGGTGTCAGTTAAAATTCTGCATATGTGTATAAAACCAAAAAAAACAATTATTTCTGTTTACAACATCAGTAAATGAAGAAAGATATAAAGATTCAACCACAAGAAACACAAACAGGCAAAGCAAAAGCAACACACAGGCCCCACCGTCACACATGAAGTCTCAAGCATGTGGAGAAAAGGGAATGAAAACAGCAGGAGAAACAGCTTTACCTTCATCTAGTCCATAATATTCTGTTGTGCCAATAACGAGAGAAAACAAAGTGGCAAATATAACACTGAATAGCATTAAGGTCACCATTAACTGATAATTATTTCCTTTTATAATAGGACATTTTTATTAATAAAAGCAATGTTTACAAAATCCAAACAAATCTTGTTATTAAGGCCCAGTGATTTTAACACTTATATGTTCATTTCATAGTTGTGAGCAACTTATTTAATATTAAACAGCATAATTTCCTTAAAAACAATACTGCTTGTGGAGCAAATTGGTAAATAAAAAATAATATCCTGTGTAGCAGTGAAATCTGTATTACAGGGGTAAAAACTTGTTAATTTGATTAAAAAATTAATGTATTTAAAACATTAAAAGGCACATGAAATATAAAATATTTAAAATACAAATCAAACCTTTAATAATAAAACTTACAATTTTATTGATATATCAATATTATTTCAATAACATGAAATGCCACAAGAAGGTTAGATAAATGTATGAACAATATCTTATTTCAGGTATACAAAAAAAGAAGTAAAATTGTAATAAAGAAATATCTAATAAAATGTACATTTTATACTACTGTAATTTAACCCTAAAAATGCTTTACTATAAAAAATGTTGTTCCAGTAAAAGATGATTTCAGATTACAAACGTACAAGAATATTAATAAAACATATATTAAATAAATTGATCAAATAAGGTAAATGTTCTCCAAGACATGGCACAACAATAGTGCACATGCTCAGGTTCAAGTCTTTGCAGCGACAAGACTTTCTTTCCAATAATTTGCTAAATAATTTACCCAAAATAACAACATGACAAAGCTAAATGATTGTTCCATTTATAAAATGGACATTTAACATCATATCCATTTCAGTGCATGCTCACCACTGCACTATGTCTTTCTCATGTGTCCATTAAGCACATGGCACAGCGTCCATGTGCCCAGTGCTGGTCAATGAATGGAATTAGTTCTATTATTACTTTACAATACAGCTTCCTCTACTCAAGCCCACACTAAGCAAATGATGTTTGACTGAGACCCAAGCGCACAGAAAGGAAGAGACAAAACTGAACACCGTGTTACTCTAGAGTTCAGTTTCAGACCTAAACGAACAGCTAAGCAGAAAGCGACACCGACTCAAGCAGCTATAAACGTCTCAAGAGCTTCTGCGTCTGTGATGCCAAACAGCGTGTTCAAAAGTCAGGTAGATAATAAGAAGTAGGTTAGGAAAATGTGTAGAGTGATATATTTGCTTTAGAGGATGCTTTTAGAATATTGAACGGCTGAACTAATGCATACAAGGGTGTCGTGTAGAAGAACCCATTTATCTTCCAGATTTAAAGACTTCAAGTCATTTAAGACATACTGAAATATTCACTGTATACAATTCAAAATGATCTAATTTTTGCTTGTACAATCAGTGTTACAGTGATTTTAAGCCAAAGCACCATAATACTGGTCTGAGATCAGTATGAACCTGTGATACTCACTGGAAGGCATGGTGTATGTGTCCTCTTCGTCTATGATCTCAGCGTAGTCGTCTGTTTCTGAAAAGGGAAAACAGTATTTTAAGTCCAAATGTTCCCACGTTTTCTCATCTCCGGCTCTCACACAGTCTTAGGCAATTACACATGTCGTCTCTTCCCCATTAACGCTGCAGTGCTAAGTTTAAAAGTGTTACCGTGTCTATGTATTCTGCAGGAGCTTGAGTTGGCTTCGATCACATCCACACAGCTGTGATATCTGAGTGTGTTTAAAGAGCGAGTACATCTGGCTGAGGGGGGGAACTTTCTGTCCGAAGCATTAGTATCATTGGGGAAAACAGATGAACTCATGGGTAATTTGACAGCTTTTGTGTCTGTCCTGTCTGGTTTTAAGGAAAAATGTTTTGTCAAATATTCTCTATGCTGCAATGCGGCAAAAGCCAACAGATTTTGACAGCTCATATTGACTGTCAGTGAAGTCCCATGAGTGGCATGCTGAGAGCAAACACTTTCCCCTTACCGTGAGAGAAAGGGATGTGTGTTTTCAGTAGATAAAGTCTCCAACGTGGCAAAGCTTACTAGTTTTACCAGATCAAAACATCAAATTCCATTGTAAGCTACTGCTGCGAGAGATCAGATACACACCTAGGTATTTTGTTTTTCTTGAGTTCACAGGGCTGAAACATGCGAACTGAATGCACTTAAACTGTGCTATCAAAGAGAAAAACATTGAAGCAAGCAACTGTTCACATTTCTTCTGAAGTTTCAGAAATTAGTTCTTCTAGAGGGAGAAACTTCAGCTCACTTTGATTTATACTTAACATTCTTTTTGCACTCATTTCTGAGAAATAAATCTTGTGTTGAGTTAGTGTTCAATTGCATGAAGCAATTCACTTGAAGCAATATGACTGGTCAATATAGCTAAAAAATTTATTCATCTTATATATAACTATAAAATAATAATACAATGATTAAAATATATTAAAACTGATATTTTTTTTAGCCTTTTGGTGATATTTAATATACATGTTGCTTTAAAAGGCATGTTTTCCAACTTGTTTTTCAATTTGGAAATATCATTAAGACTTTTCAATTATATTCATAAAAATAAAGTAATTAACTGTACTATCCTACCTATAAATATGTTTCAATACAACATTTTATTGTAAGTATAAAAAAACCATGTAGAGACTTTTGTGAACATTTCTGAGCAATGGAGCAAATCAGTTTTGAACTGATTCAGAGAAAAAAAAAATCTAAAGAAATTTTTGCAACTGAAATTTACATTTTTGAATTTAAATTTAAATTTAAAGTTATTCTCAAGTCACAAGAAAAAAATGGACTCTAATACTAAAACTAGTACCTATAGGAAACTTAAATGTGCATTAGAATCATTGGGATATTCACAATGTTGTATTTTATCACCCAGAAAATCACTGTTGAAAATCACAAGATGATCACAAGATCATATATTGTGAATATTCAATAACTTGCCCCGCTCAAGCAATAAGACATATTAAAATTGGACTTTACCATCCCCACCAATATCATCTGTGGATCCAATCAGCATGCAAAAGAATTAAAAGAGAGACAGAGAGACAGAGAGAAAGAGAAAGCATTAGATTAATGTCTTTATCAAAAGACATTACTGAGGAGAGGCAACAGAACGAAAGAGTATTTCATGGCTGTTACACAATGCAATGAAATAAAGCCCCAAACCATTATTATCAACAAAAAGATCTTGAAAATTTGCATTCTCATTCTTTAGGTTATATTAAAAACACATGCACTATCAAGGTGGGGACTTTCCAGTGACTTTAGCTACTGTTACTACACTGAGCTAATGATATTTTCTATCCTCTAAACCTCACACAACCTTTTTGCATTTTTATTAAGACATTATTTAGTACTTTCATTAAGCCATTTTCCTTGTGGGGACCATTGACCCATGTAATTTAGATGACTTCAGGTTTAACGATCCTTGTGGGGACATTCAGTCCCCATAATGCAAGCAAAACATGTCTTACACACACACAACAGTAAACTGCAACAGGGTTTGAGAGTATTTTAGAATTACAGGGCTGAGCAGCATTTTAGAAACAAAGCAACAGACATTCATTTCGACTAGCACAACAGCTCAGAATTAAGCGTAGAAAACATCAGAGGGTTACACAACATGGTTGGAATTAGTTAAGGATTAAGTTCATTATCAATGATAATGTCCTCTTAGATGAATCTTACCTGAAATGGAGATGGCTTTGGCCCGGACTCCTTGCAATCTTTTCTCATGGTTTGCCGATCTGTGAGATAAAGGTTGAAGAAGATGAATTGTGTACATTTTCAATCAAACTTAATCACAGCATGACCTTTTCCACACTGATCTGTGCTGAAGCCATTGAGCTGGTCTGTTCCATTAGCGTGTGCGGGGGATGGCATAACAGATGGGCACTACCACAGTCACGTTAATGGGAGCTGGGCTGCGGGTCACATTAGTTAAGGGTACACTGAGAGATTCCACATGTTTGAGCCAAAGAGGCCAAAAGAGCAAGAACAGGGCGAACTGAATCGATCTAACGAAAAATTGTTGGAAAAGGGAAGGATACCTGAGGGTCGGAGTTTTGCAACTTACTTTGGAGCTTTTGGGATAGATGGAAGAGCTCTCTCTCCTTCTGTTGACAAACATTGAGAAATAAAATTTAGAAGAGAAAAAAAAAACAGTAAAATAGTGAAATATTAACATTTAAAATAGTTGTTTTCTATTTACATATATTTTAATTTTGCAAAGCTGAATTTTCAGCAGCCATTACTCCAGTCTTCAGTGTCGCATGATCCCTCAGAAATCATTCTGATATGCTGATTTAGTGTTCAAGTTGAAAACGTATCTGCTGCTTAATATTTTGCTTGAAATCATGTTCTTTTGAAACACTTTTTCAGGATTCTTTGTTGAACATAAGGTTAAAAAACAGCATTTATTTCAAATGGAAATCTTTTGTAACATAAATGTCTTTCCTGTCACTTTTGATCAATTTAATGCGCTTTCCTGAATAAATATTTATATTTGTGTGTGCGTGTTGTGGTCTCACCTTTCTGTACATGGACAATAAACGATGAAGAAGTTCCGTTAACAAGTCTACAGTAACCATCAATGAGATCGGCCATGTTCTCCGCTGTGTTCAGTGCTGTAGTTGTTACTGTCAGAGGCTTTAACAAGAACACACAGGTCCCAAACTGCACCATATCCATGTATAAAAACCACACAAGACAAAATGATACACTGAAAAAAGTGTGGATGTTACCTCAGGTGCTCCAGCCACGTCTAACTGCAGCATTCCCTTCCTGTCTCGCTCCTCGAACTGGATACTCTGCACTTGTGTGAAGTTAGCGAGGTGTGTTGGCTACAAAGAAACAGATACAGACATTAGATTCACTGTCCAACTGTCTATCAATCCATCGGACTGTACACTACTTACGTTTGAGCCTTTGTCTGTCAGATAACTGATGCCCTCCTCGGGTCCGATGGCCAACTCCACTGATATCACCCAGCTCGACTATCACACACAACAGCAGACACATTCAACTCAAACACTTCATGAAACACACACAAACTGGTAAATACAATGCAAATGGATTTTCCCCTCCCAGTGATGAATAATTACTTATGAGCACTATTTTAAAAAAGAAATGAACAACTAAAAACTACAGTGTAGGAATATATTGAGAAAGGATGGAGAAATTCTTCATCTTTCAGCCAACAGAGGGCACTGCAGACCATTAAAGAAGTCTATCACCATTAAGGCAGAAATAATAAATCAGGAGGGTTAATACATGTAAATGACTTGTGTCTTTATTTTAATGAAGTGAATTAATTACCATCTAAACTCAACTCACCCCGAGAGCGCATTTAAAACACTCCTTATCAAATCTGTATATAGGTGAAAGGATCTCAAAGAACTTGAGGATACACTGCTCGTCGTTCAGATTGGCGAACTGTTTAAAAGTCTGCTGGATCAGTTTCCGCAGGGATTTAGCCTGCAAAGACAAAATACAATGACTTGTAATTAAAATACAACATTAATTACAAACCCTTAAAGGTGAAGTGTGTGATTTTTTTGAGATGATGAAATACTTCCTCCTATACAAGTTTAACAAGTATAAGTCAACTATATGCCATTCATAAAATGACTTCGAGAGATTGTAAACACTGAAAGACTGCTCTGTTTCCTCTAGCTCAATCAATGGCACACGTTTGAGGCGGGACTACCTGTTTGGTCTTGCCTGATGCAAAAATTACACACTTCACCTTTAGGTGTAGACAGCAAGAGCCTTAATGCAACAAACTGGGACATTTGAACCTTTATACAAGGAAAAATACATTAATAAATTCATTCTCTAAATCAATATCTTCAGAGAGAAGGAATTGAGGCCTGTGAATCATTTTGATGGCTCAAGAATAAGACCACAGAAAATCGCTAAATGTATGAATAAAACTGTCTGCAGCAGTTAGGACATAGTTTTATCTCAATAAGCGGTCTTAATCTAAATTTAAAATTACAAGCAGGTTCCTAAAAGCATTCAAACCAATCTTTAATGGTGTAAACAAGCCCTGTCAAATTACACAAACATTTTCAAGAAGTACTCATTATTCAGAGATGATAATTAGACAATTAGAATCAGGGTCCTCTCCTTGAGAGATGTTGAATATTTGTTAGTCTAAAGGTTCTCGAATTAAAAACCCTAAAACTGGTTGGTAATTTTCTCTTCCCTCTTGACATGGGCTTGGGTTTCCATGGCAACCTATGAAAAGGAGGTGATTTTGGGCTGCTTTGGGGTAGAATGTAAAATATAAAACAGAAGAGCAGAAGAGAGTGAAAGCCACAAAATTTGCAGAAAATCTCCTTTATAATAAAGAACAGGGAAATCCCTCGGGAGCACAAATGCCATTTCCATTCTCAATCTCAATTCCCAAATGCATTTAAACACACACAATTAGAATTTACTCTAACAATTAATGATGCAACGAGCAGGAAAAAATTAGCAGCACAGAAGATTATTACTGCAAAACTGCAAAGGTGAACTGCATAATATTTGGATATTAAAATATTTTCTTTTCTTTTTTTTTTTTTTTTTTTTT